TTTATTATTATTATATTAGTATGCAGAACCTCGTGCACCATTTCTAATCCTGATTACGTTTTGCAGGTGTTCGTTGTTCGGAGGGCGGGACCCCGCAGCCGTCGGCGGCGGCAGGGATACGGCCGACAAAGCCTGCTGCCGACAGCGAGCAGATTGCGGCGGCCACGAGTAATTCCGAGCAGGATTACGTGTGGGACTATCCGTCTCCGGAACTCGAGTACGCGCCCGACGCGAGCAGCGTGCTGTGTGAGGGCCATTACTTCAGCGGGCCGTGTCAGGAGCTGCACCGCGAGCACTCATCGAAAACGAACCGCGTCATCGACGAGCTCATCAACCAGCTCGAGGAAAGCATCCCTTCTGAGGGCGTGCGCGCGAACGCAGGGGGTCGGGTTGTTTCCGGCGGCGCGCGTTTGGAATCCGACGCCGGGCCAGCGACAAAGTCGTCTCGTCAGGCGCGGCGGCTGTCCCCAAGCGACCCGCTCGCGTCCGGGCCGGTAATCTTTGCCGACGAAACAGTTGCCGACTCCGCGCAGAATCCCGATTCGCAGTCGGCGAGTACTGCGATCAATATCGGCGAAGTCGCGCACGGCAACGGCCATCACGCGCGCGACCTTCGTCAGTGCGTGCTGCGGCAGAACAGTGGGTGGCGCCATCAGGAGGGAGATTCGGCGCTCGGTGGGTCGCCCGCGCTCGGCGCTGCGGGTGCGCGCTCCTCACTGCCCAGCTCGAGTCCCGGCTCCGGCAACAGCGGCGTGCGCGAGGTGCACTTCTCGCTCGACGACAGCCTCGAGTGGGACTCGCCGACGCTGTCCCGCAAGTATCTGTCGGGCTCGCCGGACGACGCGGAGACGAGATCGGGCGACGGCGGCGGGGAGGCGACGCCCGGAGGAGCTGCGCTCGAGCATGCGGCTCGCGCGGCGCGACTGAGCGAACCGGTGGGTAACGCGGCCCCGCGGCAGAACTCGCCTGCGGCGGAGGCGGCGGCGGCGGTGACGTCACATACCGGCTGCACACAGGGGCCACCTGTCACCCTCGGCGACGCGCACAGCGTAGTTCTTTCGGAGAGTTTTTACGAGGAGAGATTGGGAGGAAACATGTCTGATGCTGGTCGCAAGAAGCTCGTGTCGCAAACGAGCGGTGAGTACAATTTTACTATTACAATTTCGTGATATAAATGTGTTGAGGTGTCGATCACGATGCGTCTGCTTCGTAGTATAATATACTATAGGTCAACGTTCAGATTCCATTCTATGCAATATGTGTGGACAGTATGTGAGTTTACAAGGATATAATTATAGATAAAATTACTATATATCGCATTGCAGATGGTCATGTGCTGCCATCTCTGGAACAAATTATGAATAATAAGTTGTAGTATATAGGTGCAGAGAGTAGAGTAACATAATTTCAGGAGTCAGCAATAATTCAGCAATAATTAAGGGTTGGCATACATGCATATATATATATTTATTTATTTATATAACTCAGAAGACATTTAGACCTATAGTTAATGTGCCCACCACCTCGGTCTTTGCAGCTGGTTCTGTTAAGCCAAACACACGTACCGATCAACGTCTGCCTGGACTTATTTCTGTTATTCTCTAAATGAAAACTCAAAGCCATTACTGTTCTCTACCCTAAATGCCAAAGGTCCACCTCCGGGCTAAATTGTCTGTTAGTTATTTTCACATTGATACACCTCCATTGAAACTGTCCTGACCTTGGTTGTGTATGGTTGCGACTGTGGATTGTGCAAGCGCATTTGTGTTGGCACTTGCCAACGCTTTGAACGCTTTGAACGCGCCATGCACATATCAAAGCTCAAAGCTACATAGTAGCGACACCTAGTAGTGTAGAAATCACAATACCTATTACTTACGATCAAGAGCCCATTAACCCCAATTTAAGAGGTTAATGGACTCTTGTTACGATGCAGTGCCTCTTTGCTGTGCATTTCTTGTAACCTCGCATCTGTTATATTTTATGAGCAGAGCTAGAGCACTATTTTATCTCTTAGCTGTTATGAGTTTGTTTGAATGAACTTATCGCGCAAGATAACTGTAATATTTCCTCTTGTGATATTTCCTCCTATGATAAATGTGGTTATTACTTAGGGATGATATTTGTCATAGTTTAAATGAAGAATTACTGTCAAAGGATATTTATGAAGTCGGTTCTGTTTAATGTTAACGGGAGAATGACAGCTTTTCTCTTCAGCTTTACATGAGTGTAAGATAGACGTATAATAGACATGCTGTTTACGGAATTAATTGGGCGTGCATCAGTAGGGATGGATTCAATGAAGGCGGGTACGTCCGGGGGTCAATGCGGTTGTGACTACGTGCCCCGATATTTCTATATATATTTATATAAAGTTGTTCAGCCGAATTAGTCCGTACTCGCATATTAAACTAGAGAACTCCGCAGCCTAGAGGAAAACTAAAGATATTTTCAGAATCAGCACGTCTGCATGGAGAGGTGGTTCTGGCTGAAACAAAAATTTTAAAAAGTTAAAAAGTTAAAAATGGATAAAAATTCTATTCATCAATAGATGGCGATGCGTACAGATTAAAACATCACGTACGTGTAAATCCATGGTGTACGACCTTAACGGCGCAGTGGCATAATCGCTAGAACATCCGTCTCCTACACCGGGATTCCGGGTTCGAGTCCCAGCTGGGGAACTTATTTTCCCCTTTTTTCATTTTTTCCCTTTACCTAGTACCTCTTTAGTATGTATTATTTTTAATTTCTTACTTTTTTATTTTTATTTTTTATTTTTAATGTTTTTTATCTTTTGATTTCTTAAAAAACTAAAGATATTTTCAGAATCAGCACGTCTGGGAGGTGGTTCTGGCTAAAACAAAAATTTACAAAAGTTAAAAAGTTAAAAATTGATAAAAATTCTATTCATCAATAGATGGCGGTGCGTGCAGAGTAAAACATCACGTACGTGTGAATCCCACGAACTAAAGCTAACGTTAGTTTTAGTTCAGTGATAAAATCCATGGTGTATTCCTTTAACGACGCAGTGGCATAATCGCTAGAACATCCGTCTTTTGCACCGGGATCCCGGGTTCGAGTCCCAGCTGGGGAACTTATTTTCCCCTTTTTTCATTTCTAATTTCTTACTTTTTTATTTTTATTTTTTATTTTTAATGTTTTTTATCTTTTGATTTCTTATTGTTTTTTACTGTTTGGGATGGGATGGGATTGCATGCATGCGATGGCATGGCATGGCATGGCATGGCATGGCATGGGATGCGGTGCAATGGGATGGGATGGGATGGGATGGAATGGGATGGCATGGCATGGGATGTCATGGCATGTCATGGCATGGCATGTCATGGGATGGGATATTGGATGGGATGGGATGCGGTGCGATGGGATGGGATGGGATGGGATGGCATGGCATGGCATGGCATGGCATGGAATGGGATGGATGGATGGATGCATCGATGGATGCATGGATAGATAGCTAGCTAGATTTTTTTGGGTATTTTCCTTTCAACCAAGCGGTCACCAACTGAGTAACGCCACTGATTTCCCCGGGCAATCCGCTAGTCCAGAATGTGGAAATAACTAAGAAATTGTTTTTAAGCAAACATTTTGGGCCATGAATACAGAACACGTTACATGTTAAAATGGCGAATCAGTGTGCGTGTCCGTGGATTTTCCTCGCTAGCTATATAGTGGAAGCAAATTTGTCAGAGTATATCGTTTCATCGTTGTGCTGAGCTTCATTCAGCGCGTTTCCGCTAAATCACCGACCTCACAGACACACTATATACATGGCTCTACAGTCAGAGTCTACAGTCTACCGATAAGCGGCTGCACATCGCAGCGTGCCAAATGAAATCTAATGTCTCTTGATGGACTGTGGCAGCAATTATCGTATGAAAGTTTAATGTGTGCTCGCGATGCGCAGCGAGCAAGCAAGCTGGTGGGTGGGTGGCGGCGGTTTCGTAGTCTTCCGCAGTTACGACCAGCTGATTGATTTTCCCTTTACGCGTCGAGTAGAGAAGAGTGGCGCGCGCGCGTACCTTTTAGATACACGGCGACGTGTGCCGCTGCATGCATGCAGAAGCGTTCTACGCGTAGCGGGAGAGTGAGTGCATGAGCCACGGTGAAACACGCACGCCGCCGTCGCGCTCGCACGTCGAATATGTAAATTCAGACGATGGTGAAAGCGTTGATCAAGCGTTCTCAGCGGGGAAGAGTGCTGTGTAATAACTTTACTTACGTGTCCGGAAATCGTGAAGTGTTTTACGGCATTAAGTTCGGTGTCTTTGTGCCTCAGTGATCGTTATCGCTCACCGCGCGTTTTTGTGTCTTAATATATATTCTTCGCCGATTGGTGTTCGAAATACTAAAGACATGTTTTGCTGCATTGCATCCGACTGGGCGGTACATCACTCTGTGTGAAACATATGGCAAGATTTCTCCGGAAGATTGTGTGTAAGGAGCGAACTGAAGAACTATTATAACTTTATATATTTATCTTGTGTAATTTTGACTTATATATTTTAAACTGTAATTTTTATATTATAAACGATTTTCCCTTCCTGTTTTTCAGCGAATTTCAGTGGGGATGTGCGTAGTTGCGTAGTTATGTCAACGTAAATATTGATGTCCAGTTGGCTGCTGTAAAAACGATTGCAGTCAAGTGCGCTTAAAAATGATGTTAAAGCTGATTCTGAACCTAGCAAAGGTTGAAGCCATAGGATGATCGAGACAATAGTTATGTTATCAAATATATTCATCCGTGTCTATGTATAGTTTTTGTTTCATTACTATGTGTTGTCTAATTAGGCAATCAATGACCAGGTAATACAAAGGTTTTTACGTTTTAGTGTGTAACTTCCAGTCAGTAATTTCATGTAGATATTATAAGATATACTTTCTTGCTCATTCTTTCCAGGTGATAATGGCGGTGGTCTTTATGTGTACGTGTAAATATTTAGTTTTGATGTTTGTTTACAGTGGATGGGCAGAGTTTAGTGCAGCAATGGGTCAATGCTATTCCAGGCAGCCCCAAGAAGAAGAAGGCGTAAGTACATGGTTTGACCATTTAAGCTTATAGTTACACGTGAATGAATGATGTAGCTTGTCGTATGAAAGCGCTTGTGTACAAAATTCAAAACATGTATTTACCTTTTTCTCATTACATAAGAAAAAATACATGTCCATGTTAACCCTGGTCATGTGGTTCTAACTCTGCTCATAGAAGTATGTACAGTTCTCTGAAATGTTCTACAGTTTACTATTATATTAGTAGAGTTATATTAAATATTAAGACAATTTTCATTACTTCTCGTAATTAGCCTAGCAAGCATTGGTTCATTTTAAATATTTACCAGTGTCTTTAGTCAAAAATGTGTAACTGCATACTTCGTCTTGTAATATAGTTGCAGAGAGATGTATATTTGTTCTCAATTACGTGCAGGCAAGTTCCCAATATAAGTGTGACGGATCCTGATACGGCAACAACTAGAAATATTAGCGAGGGCGGTTCTGATTCTGTCTTTACCCACGCTGATGATGAACTCTACCTTGGAGCTGAAGGTAAGGCAATCGTGTATATAAGCTTACATAGCAGATCATAGCGTGTAAAGGCGAGCCCGTCTCTTGAGGCATAGCAATAGTTGAAAGAGCCCAGGGGCTGGTGGATGATATGGGCTATGGGCTATGATTAGAAATTGGTCGCTCATTGCTAACATGGCCTCAGTTGGTTTGGACTAAATGTTGTCGTTTAACCTACTGGAATCATGCCTCGTATTGCTGGCCCAGCCCTCTTGTAGCAATATATAAAGAGATGTTTTCGATGTTTAAGATTAGCCTTACAAATCGGTCAATATTAATTTGTGAAATTGCAGCCATTGTATTTGTTTTGCTGTTAATTAAACTATACATACGGTAAATTAATCAGTAAATCCAACCTTGTCCGTTTTCATGAACGTATTCTCAAAAGAAATTTCAAATGGAATCTTTACTTCATTTGTATCTGCAATACATGATCATGTTTGCAAACACACGCATGCTTGAATACAGATGCTTAGATACACACATGCATATATATATAGCTGACACTACGACAGCTTGCTGCAGTGCAATGTCAAATTATCCTGCGTAATTAAAAAATACTTGGTTTTTAACATTTTTACTCTGTTCACGTAACTTAATTATTTGATAAAACCCGTTCTGTTTTAATACTTGTTGTTCATAATACTTTAACTGATATTTTAAAATTTGTACCTAATGATTCCTTAGTCAAGATCATGCATATATTCAATATTTGTCTCCGTATTTCCAATTTGCCAAAACATGTTTTTGTTTTAAAACGTTTGAAGTGGAATTAGTCTTCAGTTATGCTACATAACTGTGCTGTATAATTCAGTGAGGTATTTACTATTTATTATGACCCTGCCGAACTAAAGGAGATTGCTAACTTATTTTCGATGGCTTCAGTTCTTGTAATATTGCATTTAGTTTTCGTAGGAACCACTGAAAATTTCCCATTGATATGACGTGTTGTCATTAAATTCATGTAATTTAAAAAAAAACCTCTTGAGAAATTTTGACTGACAGTGTTACATCCCCAGTGTGTTCCCTTCCCGCGTTTATCTTCCCGTAATATATTTGAACTTGTAGTCTTTTTCTATTATTTAAGTTGTATATCAATCATAAGCCGCAGTGTGTTGTGCTGTATAGAAAGGCGTGCTGTGATTATATATCATGGCTGGGGACGAGTCCGCGTAAAATTCTATAGTGAATCTTGGGCGTGTGCAAACCGAGGCAAGCATAGGTTTTGTTGAGAGAAAAAATGTATCAATGTGTTTTACAAAAAAAATTTCAGTTTGGATCTATTAAATTCAATTAGTGATGTTTTTTAAACATTTATAGTAAAAAGGTTTTCACCGGGGTTTCATGCACTTATACAAAACAGTGCTTGTTTCATCGAGTTATTGTTAGATTATGGGAAACTTTCATCGACTCGCAAGAGCTTGATGCAATATTTACTGCCTCAAGTCCTAAGTAAGATAAATCCACTCTGTGGTAATTTGTGTTACAGTCGTGATACTCCATTAGGAGGTTCCCAACTTTAATGTCATTAATGGTCATAATAACACATATATATATATATATATTTATATATATATGGTCATGGTCATATATTAGTTTGTGGTTTAATGTCATTTAGGTTAGGGTTAGGGTTAGGGTTAGGATTATCAATCATTAATCATTAATAATATCAAAGTTGGGAACACTCCTAATGAAGCGTTAGTCTGCATTTTAGCATCGGCTAATCCAATATAGTGTCGTAGGGTGGCGGTCTTACCAATGCAGACGTAGAGAGGTAGGCATGTACAGAACTGATGATTGAACACTGCAATATATTCTTATCTCTTATATGTACGACCCTCACGAGTATATATCCAGGCCGCTAAGGGCGTGAAAATACACGAGCCACGTCCGACGAATAATTGCACTGCAAGTAAAAAGCTGCAAATTAGCTGGCGCGCAGTGCATCGGGGCCGTTTGAATTTATAGTGCCGGCGAGAAATCCATGATTACAATTTAGCGGGCTGGATAACCGATGCGATGGCCTAATTATGTCATGAGGGATAGCCATCTCGATGAATCATAAATTCTGTGCGCATGGCTTCCCTAACTCGTTTTCGGGGCGGTGTGTGTACAGTATCTCCCTGCTATTTCTAAGTTGACTCGAATTCGGTATCATTTCCTTTCGATTTACCCTATAGAAATCATTCGGTACCATACGGTATCTGTTGTACCTGTCTGCAGCGGAGTTGCTATCGAGTCAATTTTTTATATATTAAGATTCATTCAAATCTTTGTACGGTAAAGAGTAAATACACAAATAGATATTTCTGTGATATCTTCTGTGCACGCGCGCTGCGTGTCGACTGCACGTATATATGCATTAGTCATGAGTCGCTTGTAATTCACACCCGCTGACGTTCACCGCTGTCGGCGTGCGACACACATATATAGATACCCTGCCGTAAGTGCAGCTCTAGCTGACGACGTTTCCCGGCCGTAATGCGTTTAGAGACGGCAGCGCGGCGGCGATGGTCGCTGATGAGCGGTGTATATAGCAGACGTGCGCGACCGACCGACGCTCCACCAGTCTGTGGCTTCGATCCGGTTATCCGGCGATGATGCAGCATCAGCATCAACGCCGTCGCGCGACCGATGGAGCGTTGTCGTCCGAGCGGCCGACTGCTGGTCACATGCGCGCGCGCACGCACAGATATGTACGCATACACGCACGCACGCACGCACACACACGCATACACACACGAATGCACACGCACACACACGCACATACACACACGCATGCACACGCACACAGTTGCACGCACGCACGCGCACACGTATACACTCGCATGCACACGCACACGCTCGCGCGCGCGCGGTGAGCCCTGTGAGGATATAACCATGCATTAATGCTCGCGGGTGGCTGTATTGACGCGGCCGCAACAGACGGACAGGCAGGCAGCGTACTGTTCGTGCCTCGCCACGTGAGTGCGTGCGCATGTGCGCGCACGCGTGTGTGTGTGCGCGCGCGTGTGTGTGTGTTTGTGTGTGTGCGGGCATGCGCACGTGTGTGTGTTTGTGTGTGTGTGTGTGTGTGTGTGTGTGTGCGTGTCTGTGCGCGCACGCGTGTGT